CAGAAACGGAGAGATGAGATAAGCTCGCTTTCCAGGCTTTACGTGGACCCATTACATCGACAGATGGGTGAGAGATTGCCACAGCTTAGGGAGGAGGTCTTCATCTAGCAGCGGATTGTAATGGCTGATCCGATGGTGATATTATTATTTATCGTAGACCTGTGGCTTAACGATTGGAGAGAATGCCGCGCTATGTTTAACAAATAAACAAAGCTGAACGGAGTCATTGTTTCACCGAGGACTCTGTATGTAGCAGGACATGCCCGTCGCCCTCAGCAGTCCAAAAAGGCAACGCGTGGCGTGGTGTTGGCGCACAAAGTAGTGCCGTGCTGACGATGCCCAAAATACATGGGGACCCGGTTCAGCACTGGCTGCGAAAGATACCAGTGAGAGTCTGGCTACTGTGCATCTACACCAACGAGATGGGACATCAGGGACGCTTTTCCAGTCTCCCCCTCCGTGATGTTTGCATGGTGAAAAAAGAAAACCCGCGGTTTCAAAATGTTATGACACAGTTTTAGTGTGCAACAATACTCCGCGGGGGTTCCCAAACTACCCGCAGTAAGTTTACAATTGCTGTAATATAAAACAACATATCTTATTTAGGCATAAAAAATATCGGTTATTAATACCGTACAACCAACATGCATAGCAACGTTACATGGAGAGCAAAAACATAAATCACACAGGTAACGCAAGCCCAACCTGATGTAAACTGCAGCAGCAGCAGCAGCAGCAGCTTGCAACAACTCCAGCCCTCGCCACTCATCACGAGGCTCGCGCGTCTTTCCGCGTTTAACAGATTTACTTCGTTAAAAAACACCCCACACAGATTAACCCAAACCACGCTGCACGCGCCCGATGCTTGTTAAATACGGCCCCACGTGACGCGAAAAAAATAAAAATGATGCCCTCTGCATTATTCCGAGACGATTCGTACGATCGGAGATCTCAGCGCGTGCGTCGGCACCACCTCCACGCGACGCAGACGGCGTTCGTTGCTTGCCCGGGCGGGGGGAAAAAATCTTTAAACATTGATCGGGCGGGCGCATCGTGGTTCGGGTCTAATTTGAAATTGGAGTGAAGATTGTTAACGCCGGAAAAAGAAAAAAAAAACACGAAGCGTGGAGGGTCGCTCCACGCGGACTGGCGTTTGACGAAACCCCGGCGTAGATCGGCGACATTATCTCAGGGCCACGGCTGTCACGATTAAACTTGCCCGAATGGTGCCTTGCGAGTTTCATATCGTCTCTACAGGTGGCTACGCGTGTCCGTGATACTCACAATATGACTTCATTGCCGATTATTAGGAAGTTAGAAATCGGGCTGTGGGGGGCAGGTGCAGTTGGGCTTCACCATCATCATCGCACGGCGTGGCCGGTGAGGGTTTATTCAGCCGGGGGAGGGGGGCAGGGGGGGACTGTCGTTTGCTGCGTCTGGTTTAGTGTATTAAGTGCGCCAAGCATGGTGATTAATACAAAAAAAACGCAACAGACACCAATAGAGTCTTTAGGTTGGGAATTGGGCGACTGTCCGATGGAATGTGTAAGCCTTTGGGATGTCCATGGGTCTTTATGTAACATTGTCCAACAAAATGGGAAAAAAAACACAGACAACTTCGACGTTAAGTTATTAGCAATAACAAAATGGTAATATCAACTATGACCATCATGGAGCAATCACAACCATTGAAAATAAATGGATTTGACAAGCACATTTTTTAGGGTGACATTTCTGAACAAGGTCATGCTTAAAAAAAAAACGTTAAGCAGACGTATCACGGACAGATATTATTTCTCTGCTACGGTCCATCCCACTTGTCGAGAAAGCACGTGGCCACCTACGTTTACATGCGACTGGCTGCTCGTCCCTCCGAACCATACACCCCTTGCACGGCTCTTGACTGGTGACGCGCATCCGTTTTACCATGCACAAACAAGTCACAATTCGGCTGAAATTTTCAGATTCAATGCAACATATAATCCGACCCCCAAGTCTGCGTGCAGCCCTTCCCCCGCTTACACCTCAGCATGCGTCCATCTCTTACCCAGGACTTCTCACGAAATTTGCCAGAACACTGCTAGGCACACCCTATCCATTATGACGTAATACGTATTTTTATGACCATTGTACTATACGTCTGGGATCCTACGTTACCACAGGTACGATGAGGACAACAGACGGCGAGATGGATTTAGGCATGCCCAAATAAATCCCTTGAAGAGAATGCTGGCTGAAATTAAGCACCGATCTTAGCTCTTTGTACCGACGGATAAACACATCGAATGTTCTCTGCCAATAAACTGCGCGCCAAGCCTGACAAGATATAAACGGAGGGCCTCCTAACAGAGTTACGATATTGTAACAATGTATCCGACGTGAAATGGAATCAAATGACGAATGTTATTAAGCCTTCACCCCCAATGAACACGCATCGTTGGCACGCAATAAAATACCTCAAAACACATTTGCAGCAGGCGAGTTGGAGAATTGGTCATCGAACATAAAAAAAACAGGAAACAAGAGATTGCGAACTGGCAATTAAAATCCAATATTTTGAAGGTTATAGATTATCTAAACCAATAGAACGCGGTGTGCTGCAATACAAAATCTGTGGGCGGAGTGAATGCTCGCGTGGCAGATGGATGCGTGTTATTAGATTCAACAGTCTGCTGGGTTACACAAAAAAGGTTTGTGAATCAGCTCTCAATAACTCATTTTTATGGAGTCTTGATACCAACATTTCCTGAGTTTTCATCACGATAAAAAAGGCACTTGAAAAATACTATTCCCTTTTGTAAAAGAAAAAAAAACCCAAATCTATTAAGCGATGTCAAAAAGGCAACTTCAATGCAATCACATTTTTTTTATCAAAACCTTGTTGTTGTGGTCATACACAAATAGGTCACTCGGTACCACAGGCAAAAGGCCCATTTTCAGGAGGCATAGAAAGCGGGTCCTAGTCACCAACATTAACTTGGTGCAGATTTCATTTCACTTAAAAAAAGCCGTCCCGAAAAAGGTACGGCCCATTGTTAAAATAATTATTATGTAGACAGCAGCAGCATGAACTACAACACGTTCACGATTACAAAACGGTAAAGTTTTCTTACTGCAAAGCTTCAGCGATAAAGTGGTACAGCTGGAGATGTTGGCAGACACATGCAGGTGTTTACAGGTGAGACATGCGCACCACAATAAAATCACCACACGACCATGTGTCTGCGGTTGTATGGAGCCAGCCTATGCTGCCGTCTAATTATAATAATTAAAATTACACGGATGATACACTTTCGGACACCCTGTATATAATACAGCGTTCATGAAATCGTAAGATGGGGCCGAAATAATTTTACCCAGTGTTTTTACACCATTGACAATAATGCGGTCACCAAAATACATCTTTAGGGCTAGCCACACATTTAATTTACACTGACCTGTGTGAAAACAGAAGCACAAATAAGCAAAACATATTCTTGGTTCTTTCGGTAAAATCACGTAGAAGGGAAACAATAAAATAATAAAAATTAAAACAATAAAATTCTCACGACGTTTCGACTGCAACACAAGCAATCATCATCAGGTGTGAAAACCACAACAAGAAAATTTGAAAAAAGTGGCGTTTTTTAACGTTTGCACCACGGATAGCGATTTGACAGTTTGTTCAGATGGACGAGTCCATCTATATTCGGAAAAGAGAAGGAGGGAGACGAAAAATAATGGATGCGGTCTGAAAGCCACCTTAAGCGTGATCAATCAATTAAGACCCGAAATGGTTTATAAAATCATTCGAATGATTGCTAAGCCAGAATCCATATTCTCGGTTGAAATTGTCTCTGTGTTTGTATATGTGGATAGCCTCATGAACGAATCTCTCATGGTAGCTAGATGGCTTGCAAAGAACCTCTGTCTTGGAGAAGTCAATGTCATGTGAACCTACTGAATTATAACAGTGAGCTGCCACGGTCGAGGTGTTGGTCCTACCGTGTTTCAGGTCTGCTTTGTGTTCACGAATGCGGTCCGAGACATGTCGTTTGGTTTCTCCAATGTAACTACTACCACAGAGGCAACTTAGTTTGTAAAAATGCTAAAAACCGCCACTTTTTCACATTTTATTGTTGTGGTTTCACACCTGATGATGATTGCTTGTGTTGCAGTCGAAACGTCGTGAGAATTTTATTGTTTTATATTTTTATTTTATTGTTTCCCTTCAACGTGACTTTACCGAAAGAACCAAGAATATGAATCCCTGCATTCACGTCAGTTTTAAAGCAAAACATGTAATGAACGTTTCCGAAAGAAAATCAAATAATCTGTTGATTCAGTTCCTGGCCTTTTAAATATTCTAATTTACCTTCACATTTGTTTAACTCAATAAACGTTGGGACGACCGACTGTAGCCTTTAGAATCGCGAGCAATCCACTGTTCTTGGCACAATTGCCCAAAGAGCACATCTTCAACCGCTGCTGGTCAGAGGTGTTGTGAAACCGTGTGGGGCCCCTTTTTGTAAAATAAAAAATGCAGTCGTGACAATTACCTGCTCCGCATATACGGAGACAAAGTCCATCTCAGGGTTTTTTTCCCCCTGTATCAGGTCGATGTCGCACGTGCACGTGGATTCAGTGCGGAAACTTGAAACAAAAACTTCGCTCGCAGTGGCTTCATCGTCAGCACAGGTGGACCCCACTGACAAGAGAGGTACACACAGAGCGGTGGCTCCACCGTGAAGCTTTGCAGGAAAACTGGTTAGGTGTGAGTGCCCAAACATTGGCGCAGCATCATCATCATGATCACCACCACCACCACCGCCGCACATTGCCACCGAATTCCAATTACCAATTAGTCCACGTGAGTCCATCGTCGTCTGAGACTGGAATATCCCGAAGTGGGCACTTCACTGCCTCCTTGTTTGCCAACTCTTTAACCTGGAATCACAAACCGCCACTGGAATGCAGCATCAGCGCGTGTATAATGAACTAAACGTAGATTACACAAAAGGTTGAAAAGATAATCCGTTTATTGCTACTTCATCTTTATTTCAGGAGGGTGGTAAAAAAAAACCTGTTGGGTAGCGTCAACAAGTGAAAGCTGTTTGTGCGCACAGTGATGTTAACTTAAACTCAAGACAGCTGCGATGGCTGTTACGCAATTATCATTATTAATATATCGTAGTTTAATAGCTGATGCTTTTTTTTAACAGAAAAGGCTGAGTAATAAGGGAACAAAAGCACTAAGTAAAAAATGCATACACGCTTTTAAAATGCGTTAATTCAGAATAGCAACGTTTAAAATATGACATCTCTGTTAAAAAATGCCTGGGGCGGATTAGTTGTATGGGAACGCGCTTCTTTGAAAATATATTCATTCAGAAGTGTTGTCCGCCTTGTTTAAGGCTTTCCCCGAGTACGGAATGGCTTGTGCTTGAATGTGGGCAGTGCAAATGCCGTATTCGGGAAGAGAATAAAAATAAACCCATTTAGACCATAAAACAAAATCTGCAATGCACCCTGTAAATTGTTTCATCATAGCATTTAAACAAAACCAATTTTTTTTTCCTGTCATGTTAAAGTTACGCAGCGTTTTTTTTTTCTTTCAAAACTACTTTTGTTGAGTTGGTCACCGAATATTAGTTTCGGACAGAAAGATACGAGGATAATGATTGAAACAGGTTGATTGTAGCATGTGCCTAAAACCTTGACTTAAAGCTTTCGTGACTGCAGGAATTCAATAATATCTATCCACGTGACTTTACCGAAAGACCCAAGAACATGTGCCTAAAAACTGACGTTTAACGGTGCAACTATTCAGCAATAATGCTGCACGTGATCATTGTTTTGTAGTTCGGTATTACAGGGGCTGTAATGAGTGCCTAATTAAAGGTGAATTTGGCTCTGCGAACATGCAACTTGTTCAGCATCAAGGCGAAAACGGTTTGACTGTTGCACAGGCGAACATCGCTGTTATTGGCAGGATGAAGTCACGTGGCATTGGTAAGAGTCGTCAAGGGCAACATGTCAGTGCGGACAAAAATCGGTGGCAAATGCACGAACGTTTGTGAATACAAAACTAGTGTCATGAAGCTTGCGTAAAGTAATATTTGAATTCTCTCCCCATTAGAACAAAAATTAGGAAACATTTTCCTCTGAAAAAAGTTTTCCCTAGCATTAGGTGTTTAGGCTGGGCTTTCTAGGCTAGAAGGGCTGGGTGGGTCTGGCCTCTCATGAACTGTGTTATTGTCAAAAATGTGTGTGGTGTTGGCTAGAATAGGTCAATAAGGTAAAATATAGCATGAAAAATGGAAGTACAAAAGTTTAATTGGTTAGAATAGGCTGATGCACGAAATTTGGAGACTCGATTGTTAATTCAATAAACGTTGCCTCATTTAACTTCATTAAATAATTCATGGCACCCTTGTTGATAGACTCTATTCAGCCGCTGAAAACTACCACCTTAGATTTGTTGTGCACTATGTTTTCTTTTTAAAAAGTTTAAAATGTTACTTGTCAAGCAGTAAACATTGCAAGACATGTCCACATGTGTAAGTGGGAAGGAAATTGATCGTGATGTTGATGATGATGAAAAATATCTTAAAAACACAATCTTAATTCACAAAACCTACCTCCTCTTTGAAAACATTTTGCCAGAAAGCAAAACGGCCTCGATTCGTGTAACACTTTAAACACTGCAGGGTACTGGATAATGCTGCAAAATTGTAAAATCTGATCATTCATTCCAATGACGTGTTGACGCCAATTGACGAATACGACTGTTGGTGAGTCTATGGAAATTCGCTTGGCGTTGGAGTGTTTTGAGATGCTGGAAGGCACATGGGCAAGGGTCTGTGGGCGAGCGTTGCATGAGAGTCTTGGCATTTATGGTGGCCACGGTTGTGGTGGCGGTGGTGGTGGTGGTGGCGGTAGTGGTGGCGGTGGTGGTGGACGCGGTCGCGGTGGCGATGGTGGTGGCCATGATGGTGGCAGTGGTGGTGGTGTTGGCTGTGGTGGCAATGGCAATGGTGGTGGTGGTGGCTGTGCTCATCTTATGCATGCTCCCCATCTCCGCCAAGCTTCTGGTGAACGGAACCCAGTTCCTCTTCCTCCTCCCCCTCCCCAGGGACCTTGAAAAACATCGCACATACAAGCACATCGGCACGTGTGTTTACGTCCAAGAAAATAGACAAAGACAGAGATCCCCCGCATAGCCTTGAACAGACTTTTGGGACAAGTACTGTTAGCAAGCACCTATGAAGGCCGGCACGGTACACGAGGGGGTGGCTGGCCAGCACCACGCCCGACCGCCTCTGTCTCCCAGTGATGATGTTTACACATCACTGCAACCAGGTACTCATTTGAGGCTGAGTCGACCTAAGGAAGATAATCCTTACTGGGTAGTTGCCACCGTTGCTGTGTGTGGTTAGGAACCGGGCCTGGGTTACATCGAGGGGATCGCAATGACGGTGCGAACAACACACACGTGGCATCGTGGGGCACGGCAAACACAGTGGCGCATGCGTGCGTGTCCGCGTGTGTGTGCGCGCATGTGTGTGCCCGTGTGCGTTTGTGCAAGCGCGTGTGCGCGTGTGCGTGTGTGCGTGTGCATGTGCGCGTGTGCGTGTGTGCGTGTGTGCGTGTGCGTGTGTGTGTGTGTACGAGCGCGTGTGCGTGTGTGCGTGTGCGTGTGCGTGTGTGCGAGCGCGTGTGTGTGTGTGTGTGTGCGTGTGCGTATGTGCGTGTGTGTGTGTGCGTGTGCGTGTGTGCGTGTGCGTGTGCGCATGTGCGTGTGTGCGCCGCACGCCTTGTACCTCCCAGTAGACGTTGTCCTCATAGCAGTTCTTATCGGGGGGCTGCCCCCAGAAGGGCAGCTTGAGGATGAATCCTGCGACAGACGGGAAAGAAGGTGGGGCGGGGAAGGGGAAACGTGTTGCGGTCACAAACGTGTCATCCGAGTGCAAAAACCCCGGCCATTGAAATGCGACGTTGCCACGCGCGGGGGGATTCTCGGGTTCCTTCTTCCTCCCTCTCTCTCTCTCTCTCGGCGAGAAGTGTCACACCGAGTGACGTTCAATGGCGACGCAAACATTTACCGTAGGTGCAAATTAAAAAGGGAAGAATAAGATGAACCCCCCACCCCCCCCCCCCCCCAACGGTGTTGAATCATTGTGTAAATTTAGCACAAGATTTCGCGCAGAAGCTCGAGTCATTCTCGCACTGGCGTCTAGCTCATTTGTTTGGCCACGTCGAGTTATATTGGGCCCGGAAGGGCGCCTCGGTTAGAGCGCACGCACCACGCCGCTGCAAGGGATGATGGCCGTCAGGTGACGATAACTACGACGTGGCAGCCGAGGCGATGGAACGTGTCCCAGGGCGCGTCCTCCGTGGTGATGGAGCGATGGAAATCGGCTCGCAAGCTGGGCGAGAGTGTTACGTCACAGGACTGTGCGAGATTGCCATGGCTTGGGGAGGCAGCGTAATGGTTTTGGCCGATGATGACGATCATGGTTATTATTACATGTGGGTGAGCAGGTGGATGAGTGGTGAACGGTAGTGTAGCGGTTATTGAGCTGCGCTACGAACCTGGAGACCCGAGTTTGATTCCCGCTACCTGAACCGGTCCTGGGCCTCCCCTAGGTCGAATCAGCTTCAAATGAGTACCTGGTGCAGTGTGTAAACATCTCCACGAGGGAGACAAAGGCGGTCGGGGGTGGTGTTGGCCACCCACCACCTCGTGTACCGTTCCGGCCTGCATAGGTGCTCGCTAACAGCACTATTAAGGCTATACGGGGAATCTTTGTCTATTCGAGTGGCAAGGAGAGGGCCAGATGAATGGGACCTCCGATTTTATATATATATCTTACTTGTTAATAGCGGAAATGAAACAATGAAGCACTATGAAAATCCTATTGGTAATTAATGCCATCGCATCACCATGTGTATCAATACCAATTACGGGCTGATATTAAAATAGTTCCGTTCGTGTCAACACCTGAACTGACTTTACAATTCATATATGACATTCAAAAGGCCAGAACCGAAAAAGCCAAGGTCAATCGCAATGTCGCGTTTGGGATTATCGGACATGGCTGGCGGAAAACAGTGAATGGAAGGAAGTGAACACGCAAAGAGGGGGACCCCTCAAAGCTATAACAACCCGGCCCCCCCCCCCATCCAACTAAATCTGGCCCAGGTTATGAATTACGAATTCACAGCAAATCTCACCAATGACGATGGTGCCTCTTCCAATGTCGACGACGAGAACGATTCATCACGGGCGAACGGGCGCGAGCGAGCGGTGGGTGGATTACCGATGCACGTGGGGGATCTCACCGGTGACGAGGCCGCCTCCGATGGCCATGCCGAGCGTGACGAGGATCTGCAGCGCCTGGAATCCGCCCTGCAGCAGCGGCGTGCGCCCCTGCCCGGGTTTAATGTCTTGGTAGACCTGCGCGATCCGCTTGAACTCCACGCTGTTCATGTCGCTCGGCACCAGGTCTGGGAAAGTCCGGTACAGGCTGCGGCGGGCGAGAGGACGGGGTGACGGTAAACGGCGCAGCCCTGTTCATACAACTTTGCTCGCACCGCCGGCACCCGCGTCTACTGGAGGGAGATGTAGAGAATCTCCCACCCCCTCCCCCCACCCACTCCCCCGCACCCAGAGGGGGAATTTTGGCCTATTCTTCCACACCAGCAAGACATCTTGGAAGAGCTGGGAGGGTTTTCATTTGCTTGGTGTGTGTGTGTGTATGTGTTGGGCTTCTGTCACGCTGTACGTAGCCGGCCGCTTATTTATGATTTGCTGCTCGTATATAAATCAACATACAGCGTTGTTGGCATGAATAACGTTATGTATATGTGAAACGAAAGTGTCATCCTTATTATGATTATAATCCACACTTTAACCCCCGCCGCACGCGACCTGCGATCCGCCAACCGCACCCCCCCCCAGGTCGCCGCTCTACGGAGGCGAGAGCGCCGTCACCACCGCACCCCCGGCGTACATCGCTGGCACCGCCACCACCGCCACCACCGCCACCACCGCTCCGCCGCGTCGTTTTGCCGTACCTGAACCCGTACACCTCCTCGGAGGCGCACGCAGCCACCACGGCACCGGCGATGCCGGCGACGATGCCCGGCAGGCCGTGCAGATTGTGCACCCCGCAGGTGTCCTGGATTTTCAGCTTGGAGGCCAGGATGGGCTGCGAAAGTGGTCAAGGGGGGTTTGGGACATCGCAGGCAAAGGATTGGTGGATCACCGGCTTTGCCTCGGACGATGGGGATGGTTCAGTTTCATTTGTACGTGTTTGGGTGATTTGTTCACCTTCCTTGTACTTTTCACTCCTATCGCGTGTTCATATTGTTTGATATTGTAACGTTCTTACCCGCCGCCTACTGGACATCTGTGAAAAAGAGCTTTACGGCTCATCGGATTCCCTCTGCGGTATAAATAAATGTTCTGATTCTGAAGTGTCGTGAGAATCACTCCCTTCCCGTGGGAGTCGAGGTGCCCGTAAGCCCGGCTCGCTCGGGAGAAGGCAGGCACAGAGTGTGGACTAATCCCCATCTGTTTCCATCTGTACGGAAGTGGTCGATGGCGCGTGTGGGTTTTTTTTACTTCGGGATGCTCCGGTTCCCTCACGCTTGTGTAATAAACACAACGCATCAATAATTGGTTGAAATGCTTAAAAAAAGAGTCCATCTGCTCAGTGTGGCCATCCTGGATAATAATTACGCAAAATTGTAATCACGAGGTTAAAGTGGAGCCCTGCAAGTTCTTGCTAATCGTTCCACTGGAGGGAGCTCTGGAGAGCACCCTCCAGAAGTTCGATATTGGCCTACTCTTTCACGCTGGCCAAACGTCCTCGAAGAAGTGGGAGCAACGTCCACACTTTACCGCCACCACGGCACGCGACCTGCCGATTGAATAACTTCACTGTATCCATGCATACCGCTTTGGTGGATGGAGGTGGAGGGATTTGAGAAACGTGTCCACACCCTTGCAGGTCCAACACGCTAGCCATGACACCACGCTAGTATAACCCGAGTACAGTATAACAATAGTAATTTATAAAATAAGAAACTTGGCAGTAAGGAAGTGCTCTACTCCTCTGATGATGGCCCTAAGCTCGTGTGGGAAATTCCACATTCCTATGTCAGTCACAAATTGGCGCTCATTTTGTTGAATATAAAGGGATGATGGACTGAGTTGAACCTTGGCCAGGATATGCACGTGTGTGGGTACGTACGTGTTCACAATGTTGATTTATGGGGTTTGAGCCCCTACTTTAATGTAACATTTCATATTTGTACAGGAGTTTGAGATGCAATCGTTCGAATGATGCAATATAAAATTAAATCAAAGGGTTGCCACAGTCAGGAATCCAGATCTTAAATCTCTGTTCTGTTAGCGCACACCATCTGGGTCTCTACCACGAACCTCTGACCCGCACGGGTCCGCAAAGTGCACCTAGCCTGGCACGCGCTCAGCCGGTGACATTAGCACCGCTTCGTGACAAATGGCAGCTACTGTTGTTGTGTGTTTCAACGCCGCGTTCTCGTTTGCAGCATTTGATAACATATGGAAGCTTGTATGTTGGACTTCTTTTGCAGCGTACTTAGCCAACCGTGCCTTATCAGGCTTTTAACTTTGATAAAGGTAATAAGGCAAATTCGTTCATTTGTTTTTATTACATTTTAACACGAAGCCTTTCAGCTTTGAGCGATTCTCACTAAACAGGGCTGCAACCTCCCAGCCACAAGATGTTTTTTTGTTTGCCTTATGACCTCCAAAGCTCAAATAATTTCAAGGGGACCACCAGATCAATATATTTCATTGTCGGTTTCTGTATATCGGCCTTTAAAAAAAACATCTAAGAGGCCACAGTATAACACTGCTTTCCTCCAGTAAAAAAAAAAACTTTATCAGTTCAAAGCACGAGCGTCTGCCTGCATAAACACACGGCGGCTGAGGGAGAGACCGCTTGGAAAAAATCCGGCGAAACAAATCTCGTCGCCAATTTGCTCCATTATTGCTGATGGTGGAAATGGGATAGTTTCATGAAGAAAAACTAAAATTGGACCCAATGAGACACCAGACGAGCACGTGAACACGAGGCCCAGAGTGCATAATCAGGCGGAGCGGGGCATTACCGGCAACAAAAAAATAAAAACGGGACATCGCTCCGTACGCTCACGGTCCGTTCTGGGTTGATGTAGCAGTTAATGACAATGTGCAATGGGAATGTGGAATTTCCGCCGAGAGTTCGGAGGTGCAAGCAGAGAGATGTACGCCGTCACACTCGCGTCAGAGAGAGCACGAAGAAGACTTGAACGTCTCACTCATCATACGACATGTAAGCACGTGTTTCTTATAATAGAAGTGTGCTTATAACAGATGTACTCCTATCCAGCCTATAATACAAAGCCAGAGCAGTGCTGGAGTGCTCATCTTTCCTGGCACCACCTGAGCCAGCGGTGGAAATTACACATTTCCGCGTCGGGGACCAGAAGGTCGTGGTACTTATTTTTTATCGACCCCACAGGGATGATGGATGGACTGCGTTGAACCCTGACCCGGATTTTGAACTCTCAACCTTCCCGATTACGAGTCAAGCATGCTAACCACAGCGCCGTAGCAGGCTGGCGCGCCTCGAGTTGCCGACCACTCGTCAATGGAATTGGCCCAAACACATTTCAATTCCTGGACCGTTCTGAAAAATGTCAACACTCGCTGAGGCTTTGCCGCAAAATGTCAATAAAGCCGTGCGTTACTCTTCCGCTGGAGCTGCTGGTGCCGCTGGTGCTGCGTTGTGTCCGGCGCGAGAGAGGGAGCGGTGCTTCCACGTACCGTCAGGTACTTGAAGCCGAAGGTGGAGATGATGGCGGCGATAAATCCCAGGATGAGGGCGCCGTACGGGCTGAGCATCATGTCGCCGCACGTGCCCACCGCCACGCCGCCAGCCAGCGACGCGTTCTGGATGTGAACCTGGGCGGCCGCAGGGAGGAGGAGGACGGCGCTCAATGGCAGCACGAAGACGGTCCGGGGAATCGTTTGAACTAACTGCTAACTAACTAAATATATGCATATATATATTTTTTATTTTACCAGGTAAAATCCCACTGAGCTATGTAGCTCCTTTTCAGAAGCGACCCTGGCCACAAATGGCAGCTCAACGATGTGGCTCATCACGTGGCTCATCACGTGGCTCATCACGTGCAAAATGTTATAGCCGCCAAGTACTCTAAACGCGTGATGATTCTAAACGTGGAGGGGAAAAACCGAAGGACCCAGAGAAATATCCACACGACCACAGGAGGAACGTGCAAACTCAAAAAATACAGGCGTCAGGGTCTGAATCGAGCCCACGACATACTGTGCATCAGGCTAGGGAGGTAATATCTCACCGCGCGCGTCCCTGAGTAGCGCTTGTGGTTTACCAGACGTACTGAGACGAACTTGAAACGTGACTTCCGTCTCCTTAAGGTAAACTGCCTTTAGTCAAGACGCGCTCACGCGTGCGTCTGTGACGTCGAATCACCCGACGTGTGTGACGTCACACCCGCCTAGGAGCGTTCTAGGAAAATATCGAGTGGGAGATGAATCCCGGGGCGATGGATAAAACTGTCGCATTAGGTGCCCGCACCGCACCGGCGCAATCAGACGCAAGCAGTCACTGCAAACACGACAACAACAACAACAACACAATGACGTTGATGATGATACAACTGATCGGCAGTCCTTTGTGTCAACTCACTGGATGAAGGCCTCCCCTATCCGTGTCAGTTGTGGGCAGTTGTTTGACCGTACCTCATGACGCTGGCCGGTGCGGTTTTTGGAGGTGCTGGGGTTAGATATCATTGCTGCTGATGGCGGTGACGTCACTGGTGAAGTTCATAGCGCAAATGGATGATGATGATGATGATGGCGATGATGATGGTGATGGTGACCGCAATAATAACGATGACGGTCGTGCTGCGACCGCTGTTGTTGGTGGCGACGACGATGATGATGCCAACAATAAAAATTGGTGTTGGTAGCAGCGGCGGCGGCGGCGGCGGCGTTGGTAGCGGCGGCGGCGGCGGTACCATGTCGAGCTTGCCGTGGTTGTCCAGGAGGCTGGAGATGACGATGGTGGTGAGCACGCAGGAGGCCAGGGAGAAGTAGGTGTGCATGACGGCCCTCATCTGGTCGTCCCCGTGCAGAGCGATGGCCGAGTTGAAGCTCGGCCAGAACATCCACAGGAAGAGGGTTCCTGCACGGCAGCGGCAGCGGCAGCAGCGGCAGCAGCAGCAGCAGCGAGCGCAACAACATCAATTCACATCTGCGATGCGCTCGCAACACCACACGGTCACAGCAGCTCTGATGCTGAAAACGACCGAGCCCTCGAGTGTCTGGGGCACTTTCCTCCGGCTGTCATTCGACCACGAGCTGAGACCGGTAGCCTGTAGGGCTGCACCCTGACACTGTCCTGGTAGTGCTGCACCACGACACCGCTCTGACGACGCTGCACAATTTCGTGCTCGCTATGCCCGCGTTTGTTCGATGTTATCCTCGCAATTGCTGCTGCATTACAATAATCATTGTTGTTTTCATAATTGCACTGATAATAATTTTAATTGATCAAGCAGCCCTTAAACAATGGTTCTCAGGGCGCTGCCTTTCCGCTGCTACCACAACTAATGATAGAGTAGTATCTTTTTGAAGAAGCTATCGCATCGTGTGCACGTTGAGATTTTGCTTGCAGATTTTGTCCTCGCCCATTCCCACCGAGGTCCCAGTATTCACAATACAACAATGGTGACCACATCATTTATTACGCGCAGTGGTACACGACCTCTGTTATTTTCATCGTCGTCGCGAGTTAAGCGACAATGCATTTATATTCGATGAAATTTACATCACAAGGTGGAAAAAAAAAGTCCCCCACGTTCTAATGTCACAACGATCGCCCTCAACCTGACGTTTCAAAAATAAAACCCTTTCTTGGGTGGTGGCATGAGCGAGCACGGGTCATTTTCCAGGGCACGCGCCTTTTGACCATCCGCCGTTTCATTCTCAACGTGGGAGAAACCTTCCTGGGGAAATGAAAAAGGGGGAACCCGTGAACGCCTCGCCTCAAGACCAGCCAATGCGACCGACAGCGGACCCAGACAGCAGCTCGCACACACACACTTCCTCGGTTCCTTGGGAAAACTACAAAGTCGTCGTAATTTGCGTTACATCCACGAGAGCACATGAACACAACGGCCGCGTGCATGGGCTTGCCCCCGCTAATGGCGAGCAGAGCTTCACACAACACGTCTGGAAATTGAATTCGTGACAGCCGGCTGTAATTAAATGTAATTACATTTTTCGCACGTACTCAAGGGGGGGAAGGGGTGGTGACACTTTGCTCCTAGGTGAGCACATCGGGGTTAGAGGCATGGTTCACTGTTGGGGCTATACCTTCTTGCGAAAAACACAATTTCCCACTCTTTAATTACGCGCAGGCTGATCATTTTTCATGATACTCGTCAGTATTACCCCCGTCATGCCCTCCCCTGATAACGCAACACATGTAACAAGCGAGTTTTCAATAAGCAACCTTTAGCCGGAGTGGAGAGAAGATGAAGAAGAAAAAGAGAGAGAAAAAAGGACTTAAAAGTGTTGGTAGGAACGTGTCAGCGTTGATATTGCGTAGCTGCATGTGAAATTAGTTTACTGAAACGTGCCCATTAGAATTGTTTATATGTACTTATGTTGAAATGAACAAAGTTAATCCAATGATATTATTACATTATTATGCATATTCGTGTATTATTATAAGTTATCTCAATCCTAAAATGAGCATCGAGTGGGGCCCATTGAAGTTGGTCATTTTGAAAAAGTGGTGACAATTCCACATTCTCAGGGCAGGAGTCGGTCTATCCATCCGCACGCTCACCGATCATGGCGAAGAGGTCAGAGTGGTACACGGCACCCTCCTTGGGGTGGCCTTCCTCAAGGCCCTTCCTGTAGAGCATTCGTGTCACCGTGAGCCCGAAGTAAGCGCCAAAGATGTGGATTATCATCGAGCCGCCGGCGTCTTTCACCTGGAAAGCCACGGGAAAGTTCACATCATTGACCTAATTCTGGCAAATCGCCCGACAAAGCTGGTTGTAAACCACCGGCGACGCGTCACAGTCCTCGAATTGTAAATGTTGTGGATTTACTCTCCAACACGCTGGTGTGCTCAACTAGTAACTAATCGGTAGGTTTTGTTTACGTAACGAACCTTACTGATTGCCTGTGTCGGATGGTGGTGGGTTAACGACACATTTATATATACACGATCTAACCCAAAGCAACCTTTATTATGACTAAGCAGGCTTGTTTATAATGATAATGCCCTATTTGGTGTTTGAACATCTTAACACCTGTTTTATTGCCAGAAAGGGTAAAACCTATTCTTATTTTTTCATACTATTCTTATTTTTTTATGCATAATTGCATTTACAGATTTAAAAACACAATTGCTGAGCACAGACCCAAAGGCCCCAAAAACGTCAGGTGGATACACCGCAGTGAGTCGCTTGGCAGGGCACATGTGGTGGGGGTCAAGTGGGGATACTCCCACCTCCTCCCATGACATCTGGCTAGCGTGGAAGAGTAGGCCAAACAGCCCCAGGAGGGGCTCTCTAGATCTCCCTCTGGCGGAGGCCTTTGTGACAGCAGTGGCGTGAGTGAGCAGTTGCTGGTGCTGCACCTTTACCCTCACCGTCGTAGTGCAAAGAGGATTTGAAAACTGCGCAAAACTATTTTTTATTTTACCAGGTAAGGTCCACTGAGCTAAGTAGCTCTTTTTATAGAAGCGACCTGGCCGCAAACGATGGCTCAACGAAGTGGCTCATCATGTGGAAATTTATCGCAGCCAAATACTCTGAACGCGTGTTGTTTCTAAATGTGGAGGGCAAAAAACCGGAGGACCTGGAGAAAAATCCACGCGACCACAGGGAGAGAGACATGCAAACTCCTAATATATGCATGTATGTATGTTCAAATTCCTTTGCACCGCACGTAGCCAACCGTCCTAATCGGAGGCGCGGGGGAAGGACAACAAACTAAAGACAAAAAAAAACTTACAACAGACGTCGGGATAGAACCTACGACCTCCTGGCATACCAGGCGAGGTAGTTAACATCTCGCCACCGTGGCGAGTGGGTGCCACAACGACAACAACAACAACAACAAGGTGGTCATTAAATCACCAGCCCCAACGGTCGCTGGGGCTGCCTCCTCACCCGCAGGATGTAGATGCCCACGAACTCGTTGACGCTGAAGATGAGCTCCTCGATCACGGTCATGATGAGCAGCTGCACAGGGCTGGTCTTGCCCAGCACGGCGCCGAAGGAGATGAGCACGGAGGCGCTGCAGAAGTCCGCGTTGATCATGCTGCGGGAGAGCGGGCGGGCAGGTAGGCGGGGAGAACGACGGAGACACGGGAGGAGACACGGGGGACACAGGACGCATGGGAGGAGACGCGGGAAAAGACACGGGAGGAGACAAGGGAGGAGGAGACACGGGAGGAGACAAGGGAGACAAGAGCGCCGAGCGTTTATTGCGACCGACGCCGTCGTGATTTTTACCTTTAAAAAAAACCCCTTTATTACGGATAACATTGGTCGTGAAGGTCTACTACGTGTTAACGGGCACACGTCAGGGTCGGAAAGCGTGGCGGGGGGCGTGGGGGGCTAGGGAGGAGACGAACTCCGTTCCGCAGGGTCTTGGTGGCCTACCTCTCCAGGTTGACCTTGATGGTGCCGGTGTTGGAGTCAAAGTGCTGCACCCAGCCCTGCACCAGGATGGCCCACTGGATGCCGAAGCCGGCGATCATGAAGTTGAAGCCCACGCTGCTGTAGCCGTAGCGCTGCAGGAACGTCATGAGGAAGCCGAAGCCGACGAAGACCATCACGTGCACGTCCTGGAAGCCTGGAGGGGGAGAGGATGGAGGGGCATGTAACGTGAGCGGTATAATTTCGATTGGGGGAAGTGACCACGGTTATGCCGGGTGGCGCGTTCGCCACCTGTTAACAGAGATTTGCGGATGGAACCCGGGCGCGCTACCGTCGTCAAGGAGCACGCACTGCGGGTCATCCTCGCAGCAGCAGCGGCTTTTGGCTGCTGGCCATCGACACAAAGACAGCGGTCACCGCATCGCACGGCGCTTTCAGATGCGCTTCTGCGGCCGTCTGGAACCCTCTTCCTTCCGATATTAGAAAGCCATTGAAGCGATGTACTTTTAAATGTAGATTGAAATATAATTTCTTTCGAACATATATTTTTTGCGTGTAGTTTGTTGTCCTTAATATAGATTTTTTTTTCCACCCCGGGCACCTCAGATTAGCACGGTTGGCTAGGTACGGAGCGAAAGAAGTTCAAACTAAATACAATTCTACGGGTGTATCGAACGTAATTGGATGTCGCCCAATTCGTGACGTCATTCTACGGGAGAGCAGGGCCACGTGTGTGCCGACGCCACGATCCAAGTTTGCCAAATTTGGAAATTACTCACAAATGTCCTCATTGGCTCCAACCAAAATAGCAACGTGGACCTCCCTTCCTGTGAAGCTACAACGGACTACACCGTGAAATTTTGGGCTGATTACGCAACCTTTAAATACACCGCAGCGCATGGGCAGTCGGCTCGGAACTGAGGCAGTAGCCACGATTTTCCTAGATTTGATATAATTATAGTAGAGTAGGACTCTGACCAGCAATGACCATGGGTGCTGATCATAATAATTAGCTAAGAGCAGTCGAAACCAGTGAGATTTAAACCTCCCTGGTGGAGGCAGCCTTCTTAATAATCGGAAAACAATATACACGTGTTTTTTTTGCAGCGTTTTGTAAATCCACTGCTGCATGAAGGCGTTGTTGGTCATGGAGATTTATCCGGAAAAAAACTTCACCACGCTGATCTCAGTTCAGGCTGGCGACGGTGGTGGAAGGCGTGGAGGGGGTGGGGTGGGGTGCCCGGTACAGGTTAAAAAAATCGCTCGACGCCACTGATAATGCTCGGCGTGGCCTCGGAGTCGAACTCAGACCGCCGGGTTCGTGGAGCAGTTCGTGAACCGCTTGGTTCCCCACGCTATCCATGACTGGGTGGTGGTGGTGGTGGTGGCCACAGCCGTTGGTGGGAGTTAGACAGCAGTGGTTCTTCACCTTTGCTGCAGGCCTGCAGCCCTTGGGTTCTCAATCGAAAAAAAATGTTAATAAATACATAGGGTTTGATGAAACAGTAAGTTGTACTTAGGTGTCCGTGCTTAATTTGCGTTTGCGATTATTTACCTTCTAAACAAATATATCTGGCCACGTCTCGCACCCCCAGAATTAAGGACATCTGGCACCCCCAGGGGGCGCAGCGTGCACTCCCAGGTTAAGACCCAGGTCGAGAGGGTCACGAAAGCCTTGGATAATCGTGAAACGTATCCCGACGCCAGTAGGGGGCACTCGGTGTACATCAGCCGGCACAATGACACACACACAAAGAAAAAGACCCCCGTGTAGCCTTAACAGACCGTTGGGGGCAAGTGCTGTCAGCGAGTAGCAGCGCCTATAAAGGCCGGCACGGCACACGAGGGGGTGGGGGGGGGGTGGCCAACACCACGCACCGGCCGCCTTTGTCTCCCCAGTGGCGATGTTTACTACACACCGCACCGGGTACTCATTTGAGGCCGAGTCGACCTAGGGGATGCCCAGGACCGGTTCAGATATAATCGTCACCGGTGTTGGCCGCGCGCGGTGCGCTAACCACTACCCTCCCTACTGCACACCACCAATGCTTCACGACCGCGCCCGCTGTTGCTGTAGGCGAGCGCGCACACGCGTGGTACACACGTGGCGTGATGGGTAGGGAGGGAGGCGTGATGGAGTGCGGGTGGCGAATGCGCCAATTGAAGAGGCCGTGTCGAGCGACTGATCTGATAATGGATAATGGTGAAGAGGCCTCTCGCTGAACTGAACCACCGAGCAGATGCGACGATAGATATGAAGCAAGCGTGGCATTTTTTTCTCTCCCAGTATTTCAAAAGGAGCGCTTTCTTGACGTTTAAGCAAGATAAAGACGTGTTTGGCAGCGGTGCTGATAGTGGTGGTGGAAAAGCAAAGGCCTGGAAGATATGGCAATGTACCGCCATCACGAATAGCAAACTCTGGCTTTTAAGTGAGAACCAAAACAAATACATTAGAGGCCGATGTTTGGGGTAATGGCCCTTTGGGGATGAATGGAGGAGGAGTAGGGCAGACGGCTGCGAGAGTTGCAAGGAGCCATTTGACAAAATGTGGTGGTAACCGCGTGGACTAAACAGAGCAGTTGCTTCTGCAGTTTTCAAATCGCGCATGGCGCACCTTGCGTCGCACATTTACACAGATAAAGCAATTAGACAAAAAAAGACTAAACTAATGTCAACATAACCGGCTATTAAGTATGTAATGCTTTTTCATTTTCTGTATTGAACTTGTATATCGGGTGAATGCCAAAGGGTACGAAAAAAAAACCCCGAATATCTTTGGTGTTGCCTTGTACCGAGTCACTGGTAGCTTTGAGCTGAGTGGTGGAAATTCCGCATCCCTGTGGAGGGAGCCAAGTGTAATCACAAGAGAACAACCGCTGTCTGTACTAATTGTTTGTAGACCCCATCGGAATGGTGGCCTCACACGACTGCCGCACAACGCAGCTACTGTCCAGGCGATCGAACTCCCAAAATCAGCTCTGAACATCCACGCCTCTAACTTATACAATCGGAGCACCGTGTCGTTTCGCCAGTGATATCAACTCGCTTCATCAGACGACAGCCAGATGTATTATTAAGGAACGAAACAGTAAGACTTCTCCACAAATCTGGCTGTCGCCTGATGAAGCTAGTTGTAATTACCGGCAAAACGTCGTACTCGGATTGTATATGTTGTGGCCTGGCTCTCCAAACACACCGGTGTGCTGTACTAGTAACGAATTGGCCACGTTCTGTTTACGTGACAAACCTTACTAAATTGGCTATGTCGGGTGGTGGTGGGGTTTAACGACACATTTATATGTTTACGCGATCTAACCCAAGAAAATCCTCGATTATCCTCATAACGTTTGCGGGCTGTTAGTCAACTTGTTCTCACAGCGTCTTACAATTGTCATTACCGTGGGGGGGGGGGGGGGGGGGGAAGAAATGGCATGAAAATAACGCAATAACATTTCAAATCCATCCCTTCAAATAATGCTCGCTTATTCTGGTAGTACGCGTCACACACACACACAGTAGCAAAGAAGTTGTGAATGTGACATTCTTGGCGCTCAAAAGATGTTTTTTTTTTAAATCAGCATTAGCAATGGTGCAGCGTCCTGCGCATAATTTATCGAAAGAACCCGCAGAAAGCTCGAAGGCAAACATCAAATTAGCATGACAAGCACCTGACTAAGCACTCCCAAGGCTTTACGTAAGGTTATGATGGTTGCACGGTGGAACAGTGGCACAGTGGTTCGCACACTGTGCCGTACAATTGTCAAACCCAAGTTCAATTCCCGGCCAACAAATAACATGCGTGGCCAACGACCACTGGGAACGATGCTGGGACGACCCGCATCACCGGACCGCTGAACTGACCCAGCGTGGTGAAGTATGGTCAAACAGCTGTCGCCACCGTCGCGGGCTTTCATCCAGCAGTGGATTGACATGGAGCTGTAAAAGACGTGGATATTCTCCATCGGCAAAGGGGTAATTTGCCAACCCAAAACTTGCCAACGCGATTGTAATTACGTCTTGCAGATTCTTGATAGCAAAGTGTTGGCATTGCAGACAGGACTGAATGTGCTTGGATTTGCATGACTGGCCAGGTGACAGGAAAAAATATGATGCGTCTCAAAGACACATTTATAATACAGTAAAGATCGAAAGCATAAATACAGGGTGCTCCAAAACATTTTTAACACTTATATGGGACTATTGTTTTTAATGGAAAAACGGACGATACAATGTGACATGATAACAAATGTCATGTTAATAGCTTCAAAAAGTCAAAGAGTCTCCCACTTGTTCGCCATCGTTTGTCAACACGTGGCCTGGAATCTTCTCCAGGTGATCTCTAGAGCCTGGAGGCACAGTTCTTGTGAAATCGTTGCAAATTCTCAGAAGTGTAACAAAAATATTGAAGCACCCTGTAATACTGTGATAATAATAAACAAATGCTGAATTTGTTCGAGTTATGCTAATGTTTGTTAGCAATATACACAGAGAGCACAACAAAAATGTTTCGGTTCATTGCAATGAAGAGGGGCTAATCCAAGCGCTTGTAAATGACGTATCGTTTGAATGCGTGTGTTTCTGTGTGCAAGTTTCTACTCGCAGCGAACTGACTGGCTGAAGAGTCACGCACGCGGGCACGCTGAAGCCAGGAGAGTTTGTTGAATGAGATGTGTTGTTGCTCGACCTTGAACCTTCGAGTTAAACAATGCAGGAGATTACAATGGGTGGGAGTTGGCGGACGGGGCGGGGCGGGCGGGGGGTGGCGGGGCCCCGGGGGGGGGGGCCCATATTTTAGATGTTCAATGATGTCCTCATTATTTTACCAACCACACATGCCCCTATGCCAGGGGTCCGAAACTAAAATAACAAAAAGATATTTTGTTGTTGTTTGTTGAAAACATCGAATTCGGTACCCCCCCCCCCCCGCCCTCAATATTTCAAGAGGCGCGTTGCAATGCGAACGAGACGGCGGTCCTGAATAATAAATAATAAATAGATGGCGTCACGGGGCCGTCTTTAAAGCGCCGCATTGGGGTGCTCCAGAAGCGCCTATGCCAAACTCTCCCTTGTAAATTACGTTGGTTAGTTCGGCTCTAGTTTCTTTTTTTTACGTGACATACAAATCGTCATTTTTAAACTCAAGTAAAAAAAACGATTGCAATTTTGACCCGCAACCAGTATTATTACACATAGGGA